ATCTTTGAAAAAATGTTAGGGATGTGTCTTTTGTTTTTGTATATTTATCTTTGATTAATATTTTACTATTCAATATGTTGATTGTTGGTATATATTTAGAGATAAATGGTATTCCAATGATATTATATTTAATATCAGTGATATGGAATATTTGTTTAAATGGTTTGGTTAAAATTTTGTTTTGTTCCATTGTTCTTGTGGGGAGAAGAAATAATTGAATTTTTCCGTAGTTTATTAATGTTGATCCTTGTGCTGTTGCTAGTTTGCTGGAGGTTTCAAGAGGTGTTAGCTTTGGGTGTAAGGTTTTTATTTCATTCCATGTGGGAATGTTTATTATATTTGATTCTGCTCCTGAATCAATTAAAAAATCAATTTCAAGATCTGGTGGTTGAAATTCTTTGCTTCTTGGACTTTCTAAAAGAAATGGTATTGTCAAAATTTTTTCTTTGTGTTGTTCTTTTTGTATGTTTTGATAGATGTGATTTGTATTCAAGCATTTTGTTTTTTCGTTCTCATTGGGTTGATTTGTAGTGTTAATTTCATTAGTTTTTTGTGTCGTCGGTGTGGAATGGACGGGTTCAATATAATAATTGTGAAGGAGTTCTGATTGATTTTCATATATGTGTGATGAAAAAGGTTGTTCATATATAACAGGTTCATAGTCATTTTCGACTTTTATCATATTGATGGAGAGAGTGTTTTCTGCATCGCTTTCTGAATCTGATGATCCACAGTTTATTTGATTGAGTTGTAACGTATCAGTTACTGTGTCATCAATACCTGGAGGGTCTGATGTTGTTTCTGGATTAGATTGTACTTGATTGATATGTCTTTGATGTTTAGGTGTACTACTTCTGTGGCGATTATTAGAATTATTATAGTTATTATTATTCCGGTGTGGTGACTGGGAATAATTTCTATAACGATTATTATAACTTGAGTGTCGATTTTGTGAATTATTTCGCGATCTATTTTGGTAATTATTGTTTGGTCTGTTATAGTTCGATCTATTATATGAATTATTCCTTGATTGATTGTTCGGGTAATTCTGGTTTCGGTTGTTTGAATAACTTCTATTCCGATTATTGGAGTAGTTTCTATTTCTATTGTATGATGAATTTCGTGATTGATTGTTTGGATGGTAATTATTTCTTGATTGGGAATTAGATCTAGAAACAAATCGTTGTGTATTTGAATTTGGTCTGGAATAGTTATTTCGACTCTTTGGTCTATTGTAGTGATTTTGTGATGAATTTTGCGTGTTTCTTCGTTCTGGTGATCTTCCTCTATAATTTGAGTTATATGGTGATTGATTTCTTGTATAATTTGTATTGTTCGGGAGTGGTTTTCCTGAACTGTTGTTGCTGTACACAGTTTTGTTCGGTAGATTTTGATCTTTTTTCATGTATTGATAGAATGATTTATTTGGTTCTTTATATTTTTGAGGTTTATTTTGATTGTCTTGCTGTTTTTGTCTACATTCAGAAATACTATGTCCGTATCGTCGGCAATAATTACACCATTTTTTGAAAGATGGTTTGCCTTTAAAGTTTGGGTGTTTTTCGTAAATATTGAGTATTTCAGTGATTTTTTCAACGAGGTCTGTATCTGATTCCTGTATATTGTTTATATTTGTGGAAGCTGTTTCAATTCTGTTAACGTATTGTAATTTCAGATTTTCCGTTTCTTCGAGTTTCATTGTGATTTCTGCTTGTTCTAGTTTGTCTACTAGTTTTCGAAAATCTAAATCGGGTTCTCCAATTGAAGGAGGATGGGATGCTCTCTTTTTTATTGCTATTTTTCTTAATTGCGGTGTTAAGGTCATCATTAAGATTTCTGTCATCTTTTTGTTTTTATAGTCATGTGTATTTAATGAATATGCTTTTCGAACTAGTGTTTCGATTCGTACTGCTAATTGCTTGATGGTTTCGTTTGGTAATCTGCGAATTTCATTACATAAAACTCTTTGTTGTTGTTTGTTTCTTTCGGAGTCAAACATTTTTGAAAATTCTTGTGTAAATCTTTTCCAATTTGATTTTATTTCTATAGGCAATACTGAAAACCGTTTTTGGGCTGCGCCATCTAAAGTTGTTTGTATCAACGCTGTGCGTCGATGTATCCAGTTTTGATGTAGTGGCGTATTAATTGGTTCAGGTCCTATATTTAAAATCAAATTTGCTGTTACTGCATTTAAATAGCCTTCTACAGAATATTCAGGGTCTGTTCCTGTGAATACCATTAAAGGTTTATTTGATGTTATTGATGATCCACCCATAAGGTATGGATTCATTGTCATTTGTAATGATTCTGCTGCATTTGGCATTTGAGAAAAATTTGAAAGTTGATTTCTTGTTATTTCGTGTTGTTGAAGATAATATGGGAGTGGTATTTCATTTTGCATTTGTGTTGGTTGGTACGAGTTTGCAATCATTGGGTTTTGTTGCTGAATTGGTTGAAAAGATTGTGTATTAATTGGGTTTTGTTGCTGAATTGGATGTTGATTTTGTGTATCTATTGGTTGTGGAGAACAAATTCTATGATGTGTATGTGGTTTCTGTATTCCTTGTTCACGATATTCTTGATTATAGGGTGCAAATATATCTGGTTGTAAGAAATCATCATCTGAGGATAAGTAATCCATTTGATAAGATGTTTGTTTTTTATTTTTATTTTGTTGAAAAAATGGATAGTTTTCACTACGATCCTGTGGAGGATGTAAATTTGTTTGGAAATTTACTGAATTAGGTGGTGCCATTGAGTTATCCCAGTTTCGAGATCTTGTATAATTACTAAAATTTTTTCGCGGTTGATAATTTGTTTTTGATGGATGTGTGTAATTATAATTATGGTCTGCAAAATTGTTTCTAGTGAACGTTTTGCGTGTTTTTGGTGGTATTGTCATAGGTCTGTATGTTTGGTAATCCATGTGTGAATATTTTGGGGCAACCGAAGGTTTAACGGTTGATTGTAAGGTTACCTTTGTATTTCTTGGTGTTGTTAAGTTGGGACGTATTGGTGAAATACTTTGTTGTGTGGTTGTTGTGTGTACGATTTCTTCATTTATGAAGTGTGATGGTGTCTGGATATCTTGTTGAGTAAGGTTCCTAGTTCCATTGAGGTTTTCATTGTGTATGACTGTAGAGTTTAAACTATTATTTTGCATATCGGGTAAGAATGTATTATAGTTTAATGGTGTTGCATCAATGGTTAATGGTATTACTCTTACATAATCTCTTACATAAGATATCGTACTTATTGCTTGACTTGAGATTGATTGTGGGAAGTTTATGAATGCGGGATGAGACCATTCGGGGTCCCAAACATAGTCTGATTGTTCTGTGATGGCAGTATCATCGTTTGAGTTTTGGGGTCTAAAATTTTTTCTTGCTTGTGAAATAAAATCAATATTATGTGTGAAATAATCTATTATGAACCATGCCAAAATTTTTTGTAA